CTCTTGGCACGTTTCTCTTTCACCCTCCATTCGTGCCTCTTCAAATTCTACAGCACTGCTGACCTCCAGCTGGAGTGCTCAAGGGCCAGGGCTTCCCAGTTCTCAGTGTCTATGCCACAGTTTTTAAGGTTAGCTTTGAGTCCATCTTTAAATCTCTTTTTCTGCCCTCCAACATTCCGTTTTCTGTTCTTGAGTTTGGAGAAGAGCAACTGCTTTGGGAGATGGTGGTCGGGCATCCGGACAATGTGGCTGGTCCAGCGGAGTTGATGGCGGAGGACCATGGCTTCAGTGCTGGTGGTCTTTGCTTCTTCCAGAAAGCTGACATTTGCCCGGTTGTCTTCCCAAGAGACTTGCAGGATTTCTCAGAGGCATTGCTGATGGAATCATTCCAGGAGTTGAGTGTGACGTCTGTAGACAGTCCACGTCTCGCAAGCGTTGACTGAATCGTTCCAGGAGTTGCATGTGACTTTTTCCGCATGTGCAGAAGAACATGCGGATCAAGAATAGGGCTCCACAGCTACCTATGGACTCACCACCAAGACACTGGACTTAGAGAACCATCATCCTTGGGCTATGAGGCATCGCCTAAGTAAATACTTGATTTCTATTCCACCTGCTTTCAGAAAAGGCCTGTCATTGATACTAGGTAAAAAATGAGTCTCAGACAATTGAGCAAGCTGAACACATTTTGGCCAGAATATCAGGCTTTATTGTTGAAGCCAGACACATTCTCTGTTTGATGCTTTATTTCAAACCAAAATAAATAAGTCAGGCTCTGAGTCTGAAGGAAACTCCAGGGTAGTGCTGGCCTAGAACAGACAACTTTCCTCTCTCACCAGCCTCTGCTCTAACAACACTCAATATCTTTATTTTGCAAAGCTGAGGAATAGAGGTCACAATCCCACTTGGAGCAACCATAAAAACACAAATCTCAACACTGTCCCCCTCAAACAGTGGGCATCATTTTGGAGTGTGCTGTTCCTACTAGTGAAGCAGCACTGATACTTTTTTAATTATAGAAAAGTCTTTATTCAGAAGATGGCACAAGTCTTTTAGTTTGACTGGCAGCATGAACAGAAGAGAGCTAGAGAAGGAAGAAACTGGACTTCGTTCCAAAATGTCCAGGTTAGTCAGATGGATCAGGGCTGGACATCTCCCAATGAAGACACCCAGAAAAGCCAGTAATTTTTGGAGAGGGATGAGAGGAAATTAAGATCACATCCATCTTCAGAACCTACTTCCACTCAGGAGAATGACACAGAACAGAAAAAGACTTAGGAAGACATGTGATTCTGTGGGTGCCATGTGTTGTGTCCCAGGCACATCCCTTGGTCTTGGGATGCCCTTGCCAAATCAAATCACTGCAGCCACGACCATCCCAATTATGTTAAGCCCAAAGGAAGGTGCAGCCAAAGCACTGAGATACATTCTGCTACTGATCTATTGTTGCATAATTATAATAATGTCAGTTATTAGCAATGGGTAATGAGAGCCATCAATCCCTGATGCAAAGGCCACAAGCGGGTGTGTGCGTGTGCATGGTGTGCGTGTGCTGAACTGGATGGACTTCATGCAGAAGATAAAGGCAATCCTGCCCAAGGATAGTCAAGATATTCCATTGTGCATATTGGTGAGGGAATAGAAACACTCAGGTTCACATGGAACCCATCAGCTTTGAGCTCTCATTAAGTTATTGGGAAGACATGACAAGTGCTGAAGGTGTCCAAGCGTTGGCCGCAGGATATAGACTCGAAAAGCAAAAGACACCCTAAAAGGTAGCATGACAAAGAGCCCCAAGACGCATAGAAAGGAACTACCTCCTGGACTTCTCTAAGGCCATAACACATAGACAACCAGTTTCAACATTCAGACTGGCTATTTTTGGACTGCATTTGGTTGTACAGCTTCTCAGTGTTTTGGACTTCAACTCCCACAATTCCTAACAGCCTGCTGGCTGTTAGGAACTGTGGAAGTTGAAGTCCAAAACACCTGGAGGGCCAAAGTTTGCCCATGCCTGTATTAAGCTATTCCTGCATGTAGCTTTAACCTTGTAGTTTTGAGGATTGTTGTAGGTTTTTTTTTCGGGCTATATGGCCATGTTCTAGAGCAGTGGTTCTCAACCTGGGGTCCCCAGGTGTTTTTGGCCTTCAACTCCCAGAAATCCTAACAGCTGGTAAACTAGCTGGGATTTCTGGGAATTTGACTCCCTTTTGGACCAGGATCGGGTTTGGCAGGAATCCCCTGTGGTCTTTTATCTGGCATAGATTTTGATTATGCAGTTTCTTAATCAAAAAGAGAAGTCTTGGGTCAATGATTTCTGGGAGTTGTACGCTAAAAACATCTGGGGACCCCAGGTTGAGATCCACTGTTCTAGAGGCATTGTCTCCTGACATTTCGCCTGCATCTATGGCAAGCATCCTCAGAGGTTGCATTCTCTGAGGATGCTTGCCATAGATGCAGGCGAAACGTCAGGAGAGAATGCCTCTAGAACATGGCCATATAGCCCAAAAAACCTAAAACAACCCAGTGATTCCGGCCATGAAAGCCTTCGACAATCCCTTGTAGTCTATGTTTGCAGAACTAGGATAACACAAGCCAAGCACCACAATCACTAGTTGATTTCATCCATGTTTGAGCCAATTGGCACAAGTAATTATGTGGACAGAAAGTTGTGTAGAAGAGACACTGATTCAATTTTTTTGCAGACTACATATAACAAATGTCAAAGTTCATGATCCAGATGTCTTTACGCAATTTGCATCAACTTAAAAAAATATTTTATCTGCCAATTCCAAATCCACAAGTAATAATTTAAAACATAGCTAAACTGACAAAAATTGCAGTGATTGTTAAGCAAGAAACTTTTGAAACAAGTGAGCAGCAAAATGTGACCTCATTTGCTAGAAATTCAGGAAAAGTGCAACCTCACTCTGCTGTGAAGGAAAAAAACTGATTCAAATGGATCTCTCTCTCTCTATATATATATATAATGTATATAATATACACCAGGTAATGGGCAAACTTTGGCCATCCGGGTGTTTTGGACTTTAACTCCCACAATTCCTAACAGCCTACTGGCTGTTAGGAATTGTGGGAGTTGAAGTCCAAAACACCCGGATGGCCAAAGTTTGCCCATTACCTGGTGTATATTATATACATATACATTACAAGCTGTCCCTCACCCTGCGTTGTTGTGGCCCAGTCTGTGTATGTGTGCTTTTGTGTGTGTATATATGCATATACGTGTGTTTATATGCGTATATACATGTATTTGCTTGTATATGTGTGGTTTTGTGCATGCGTTGTAATGTATTTCTTTTTTGGCTTTCTAAGTCCCTTCCGGTGTGTTTATCAGTGTTTTTATGAGTGATGGTCACTCGCTGGCCTGAGAGGTGTATTGCGGCCAAATTTGGTGTCCATTCGTCCACTGGTTCTTGAGTTGTGTTAATCCCACAAATTACATCTATATAAATAAAAATGTAATGTTCGTTTGCAAACAAAACTCAAAAACCACTGGATGAATTGACACCAAATTTGGACACAATACACCTCTCAGGCCAACGAGTGACTATCACTCATAAAAACACTCAAAAACATAGCAGAAGGGACTTAAAAAGCCAAAAAAAACAAACACCAAACGTTACAACACATGTGCAAAACCACAAATATATACACAAACACACATATATACACACATATATGCATACACACACAAAACACACACAGAAAGGGGGAAGGAAAGAAAGGGTAGAGAAGGAAGGGAGGAGAGAAGGAGGGAGAGAAAGAGGGAAAGAAGGAGGGAAGGAGAGAAAGAAGGAAGGGTAGAGAAGGAAGGAAGAAAGTGGGAGAGGAGGGAGAGAAAGAGGGATAGAAGGAGGGAAGGAGAGAAAGAAGGAAAGAAAGGGTAGAGAAGGAAGGAAGAAGGTGGGAGAGGAGGGAGAGACAGGGAAAGAAGTAAGGAAGGAGAGAAAGAAGGAAAGAAAGAAGGGTAGAGAAGGAAGGAAGGAAGGAGAGAAGGTGGGAGAGGAGGGAGAGACAGGGAAAGAAGGAGGGAAGGAAAGGGAGGAGAGAGAGAAAGAGAAGGAAGGAAGGGGAGGAGGGAGAGAAAGAGGGGAGGGAGAGAAGGAAAGGAAGAAAGGTAGAGAAGGAAGGAAGGAAGGAAGGCACTAAAGAGAGAACGAGGGAAGGAAGGAATGAGACAAGGAAGGATGGAACCAAAGAGCAAAGGAAGCGAGAAAAGAAACAGATAAAGAAGAAAAAAGAAGAGAAATATATATATATATGTATGTATATATATATATATATAGAGAGAGAGAGAGAGAGAGAGAGAGAGAATTACTAAGAACACTTTGCTGAGGTTTAATACTAAGTTTTCTATTGGAGACTTAAGTCTGAGGGAGCCCATCTAATCTTTGTATCTTTCCAAACTATTGGTAAGCTCGAATTGCAGAGCAAGAGTCAAAATGCTAAGCAGACCTGAAGCTTAGTGCACAGAAAAGTCAATGTGACTACATGCCAGAATCCTTGGATATTATTAATATGGATATCCATGATGTCAGAGGAATTGTTTGTGTAGTGTGACATTTTCAAATTGTAGTTTAAGCTAGTGTGTGCAGCTTTCCAGTAGAGCAATGGTTAAATGCACAAAGCTGTTTGTGGCCTTGTGTTTTTACGATTGCGCAGCTAAGCAGATCGCTAACTTGCCAACGGAGAAGTGAGAGGTGAATGTGTCCTGATTAACCCTTCTCACTCACACCAACACATGATGTGACATAAAATTACTAAGGATTGCAAGTTGTAAAACAAAGGGGTCAGAGATCCTGCTGCATTCCTTCATCTTTTTTTTTCAAAAAGGAAAGGAACCCTCTGCAACAGAATGTCTGAATTTGGTTGTCAGGATGCACAACAGGGACAAATGCTCTCTAAGCCAAAGGAGAGAGCTGCAGTGCTTCAAGACGGCAGTTGTGGATTTCAGTGCCATAAGGTAAGGGAAGTGAAGCTTTATGCCAGTTCAAACGGGAATGAGAATACCACCATCAATGGTTGAACCTAGAGGTTCAAAATAACAATTTATGGACGGCCCGGGGCCATCAGATTTTCCGACACCAAGACCCATTTGGAAAGCAAATGTTAGTCCTAGCATAGTCCACACTCTGGAGCAGGACAACTGGCTAATCTGGGGTTTTCAGGAAGAACACAAGACTGTGTTGGAGTGAAACCCTACTGTTCCAGAGGTATGAGGGGCAGCACTTGACAGAGAAAATGTATTACAAACATTCCAGATGGGTCACTGAAGAGGCGATTCCTCGACAGCAAAGAACAGGTTAATAATGGGTTCCTTAAGTTAGTTAAGAAGGTCTACAGTTAAGGGCATGGACAGGAAGGGAACAGAGCTAGACAGAAACACACACACAAAGTGTGCTGCAGAGCCATTTCCAAGTGTTATCTAAGACAAGCCCTTGAAAGAGTCGAGGTTGAAGGCAGTGTCCAGGAAGCGCTGCAATTCAGTCAGGTGAGTCTTCTTGTTGCCGGTGGCTGGTGCAGCAGCAGGTTCACGCCCAGCATACCTGGGACATGGAGAGGAAGGAAACAAGAGAGATGCAATGCTTACTGAAAGTGGTATTCAAAGGCTCACCTACCGCCATGCCACACACACACACACACTGTGGGAGTTCACATGGTGCTTTCCACTTTGATCCTCCCTGCCTCGGCTAGTTGTCAAGACATCATGGTTGGGTGCTGTTCCATCTATGTTTCGGCCAACTTGGTGTCTCTTTCTTTACATACAGTGTGCCTTCCCAGAATAATGATCCCATAGCACTTTGTCCTCCAAAGCACTTTACATTTTAGGTCTGCTTGTATGTTTTCCACAAACGCCCCATCACTTTTTCGTCCATGTTCCAGTATTATTTTCAATTTTAATTTTACATTTGGCCTTCCCATAGTTTTTAATTGTGTGGTCTTATTGTTAATGTTGCATTATTGTATTGTCCATGTTTTATTTTTAATTGTTTGTATTGTTGTTATTACTGTTTGTATTGTTGTGTTTGGGCTCAGCCTCATGTAAGCCACACCAAGTCTCTTGGGGAGATGGTAGCGAGGTACAAATAAAGTGTTATTTATTATTATTTACCTGTCTTCCCAGGCTGGACCATTTCTCTTCCAGCAGTAGTGCAAATAGGGTTTGCTCATCAACCAAGAATTAAAGCAACCAATTTAAGACCCAGCACAAAAGCAGTATTATAGAATCATAGAGTTGGAAGAGACCCCATGGGCCATCCAGTCCAGCCTCCTGCCAAGAAGCAGGGAAATCATATTCAAAGCACCCCCAATAGATAATAATAATATAATAATAATAAAAACTTTATTTATACCCCGCCACCATCTCCCCAAGGGACTCGGAGCGGCTTACATGAGGCCAATCCCAACAGTACATCAATAAACAAAAGCAATAAACAAAAACAATAAATACAATTAATATAAATCACATATAAACAATAACTAATAAACAGTAACACACAAGGATTTAAAAAACAGATGGTCATCCAGTCTCTGTTTAAAAGCCTCCACCACACTCTTGGGCAGAGAGTTCCACTCTTAAACAGCTCTCACAGTTAGGAAGTTCTTCCTAATGTTCAGGTGGAATCTCCTTTCCTGTAGTTTGAAGCCGTTATTCCGCATCCTAGTCTCCAGGGCAACAGAAAACAAGTTTGCTCCCTCCTCCCTATGACTTCCCTTCACATCTTTATACATAGAATCATAGAGTTGGAAGAGACCTTATGGGCCATCCAGTCCAACCACCTGCCAAGAAGCAGGAAAATAATATTCAAAGCACCCCCAACAGATGGCCATCCAGTCTGTTTAAAAGCCTCCAAAGAAGGAGCCTCCACCATACTCCAGGGCAGAGAGTTCCACAGCTCTCACAGTTAGGAAGTTCTTCCTAATGTTCAGGTGGAATTGTAGTTTGAAGCCATTGTTCCGCATACTAGTCTCCAGGGCAGCAAAAAACAAGCTTGCTCCATCCTATGACTTCCCTTCACATCTTTACACATGGCCTTCATCATGTCCCCACTCAGCCTTCTTTTCTGCAGGCTAAACATGCCCAGCTCTTTAAGCTGCTCCTCATAGGGCTTGTTCTCCGGACCCTTGATCATTTTAGGTGCCATCCTCTGGACACATTCCAGCTTGACAACATCTCCTTTAAATTGTGGTGCCCAGATTTGAACGCAGTATTCGAGGTGTGGTCTAACCAAGGCAGAAGAGAGGGGAAGCATGACATCCCTGGAACTAGACACTAGACTCCTGTTGATGCGGGCAAAAGCACATTGGCTTTTTTTTTTTGCCACTGCATGACATTGTTGGCTCATATTTAACTTGACTACGAGGACTCCAAGATCTTTTTCACACATACTGCTGTTGAGCCAGGCATCCCCAATTCTGTATCTTTGCATTTCATTTTTTTCTGCCTAAGAGTATTGAGTAGTATTTAAAACTGAAGACTAGTTTTCTATTATTCTATTTTCTCGCTTTCATACATGGTCATACACATAATCCTCACTTATGGAGAGGGCCTTCTCGGTGGTGGCCTCCCGACTCTGGAACTCACTTCCCAAGGACATCAGGCATGCCCCAACTCTGGCAGTCTTTAGGAGGAGCCTGAAAACATGGTTGTTCCAGTGTGCCTTCCCAGAATAAGGAAAATTCTCAGCAATATGCCCTCAGAATGCACTTTACCACTGATTTAGGCTTGACTGCGTTCCCTCATCTCTCTTTGAAAACCCTTTATCAGTTATATCCTACCTTGTTCATGCCCAGCGTTTATTTTTTAATTTTTTAAACTATTACATTTGGCCCGGCCATAGGTTTTTTAATCCTTGTATGTTACTGTATTGTTTATATGTGATTTATATTAATTGTATTGTATTTATTGCTTTTGTTTATTGATGTACTGTTGGGCCTGGCCTCATGTAAGCTGCTCCGAGTCCCTTGGGGAGATGGTGGCGGTGTATAAATAAATTATTATTATTATTATTATTATTATTATTGTTATTGTTATTGTTATTATGTCCACTTCAGAGGGAAAATAGAAAACTTCCCATTTGTCTCTTAAATATCAAATTGTCCGAAGGGAGAACTTACCACACTGGCTTTGCACGGTCAATGGTTGTGCGAAGTCGAGGCTTTACATAATCATAATACCCTTGGTTTTTGTGCTCCTCTTGACACCAAACCAGGTCCGCATTGGGGTATTTATGGAACTCCTTCAACAGGAGGTCGAAGGGGAATGGGGATAACTGTAAGCAGTGCAAAAAAAGGCATCTAGTTCATAATGGCTTTGAAGACGTCAACAGCTTACACAAATTACCATAGACAAAAAGTTGACACTGAATCACAAGTTGACTTGAAAGCTCAGGTATTCTGTAGAGTTAGTAAACAAGATAGTTTTGTTAAGCCTTCAGAATATCTGAATGAGAAATGACTCCATTTCTTCAATCTAAAACAGATCTGCTAACATTATTAAAATTTGCCCATTATTAAAAACATTATTAAAAACTTTGGAAGTTCTTCATAAAAATGCCTTTAAGTTTAAAGCAGGCATGGGCAAACTTTGGCCCTCCAGGTGTTTTGGACTTCAACTCCCACAATTCCTAACAGCCTATCGGCTGTTAGGAATTGTGGAAGTTGAAGTCCAAAACACCTGGAGGGCCAAGGTCTGCCCATGTCTGCTTTAAAGCAAGGCTTTAGAACAATTACATTTCAAACATCAAAAAACCAGGTGACAGGCCCCCACCAATTATTTTAAATTGCAGAAAAAATATTTCCCACAAATGCCATACCTGCTCCACCCTAGTGATGGCCACGTCTGCTTCCATATCCCTGGTTTTGCGCTCCCTAGTGAGCTCATAGTACACTTTCCCAGTGCAGAAGAGGATTCGCTTCACCCCTTCTGGATTTTGTGTAGCAACACCATTTTCTGGAATAATGCGCTGGAAATGTGTGCCTGCAACGAATGGAGCGCAGGTTGTTGTCATTCGATATAGCTAATATCCTTCCACCAATTTATCCTTCCACCACTTTAAAGAGAATGAGGAGATAGTCCTCACCCTCTGAAGCTTGCAAATATATAAATAGCAATATATATAAATAAATATAAAACATATAAATATATAAATAGTAATATATTAAATTGGTAAAGAAAGAAAGGGATTTCCTGCTGGAACTTTTAAAAGGATATGGTTTGCCTTTCAAGTACTGTATAGTGGAGACTGGAGGCCATTGCTTGCGATATATGATATATTTCTGTCTCTTCACCTCTCTTGACAGTATTTCTTCTTTTCCAGTTAAAAGGGAGGGAAGGAGGGAAAGGAGATATATTTCATGTCCTCCTTGTTTGTATGGCTCTCTTTCAAACCCATCCAATTTCCTGACTTTTTGTGTGCGTATCTAAATGCATTAATCATAGAATCAAAGAGTTGGAAGAGACCTCATGGGCCATCAAGTCCAACCCCCTGCCAAGAAGTAGGAATATTGCATTCAAATCACCCCTGACAGATGGCCATCCAGCCTCTGTTCAAAAGCCTCCAAAGAAGGAGCCTCCACCACACTCCGGGGCAGAGAGTTCCACTGCTGAACGGCTCTCACAGTCAGGAAGTTCTTCCTCATGTTCAGATGGAATTTCCTCTCTTGTAGTTTGAAGCCATTGTTCCGCGTCCTAGTCTCCAGGGAAGCAGAAAACAAGCTTGCTCCCTCCTCCTCTCTCACATATTTATACATGGCTATCATGTCTCCTCTCAGCCTTCTCTTCTTCAGGCTAAACATGCCCAGCTCTTTAAGCTGCTCCTCATAGGGCTTGTTCTCCAGACCCTTGATCATTTTAGTCGCCTCCTCTGGACACATTCCAGCTTGTCAATATCTCTCTTGAATTGTGGTGCCCAGAATTGGACACAATATTCCAGGTGTGGTCTAACCAAAGAGGCGTAGCATGACTTCCCTAGATCTAGACACTATGCTCCTCTTGATACAGGCCAAAATCCCATTGGCTTTTTTTGCCGCCACATCACATTGTTGGCTCATGTTTAACTTGTTGTCCACGAGGACTCCAAGATCTTTTTCACACGTACTGCTCTCAAGCCAGGCATTGTCCCCCATTCTGTATCTTTGCATTTCGTTTTTCCTGCCTAAGTGGAGTCTCTTGCATTTGTCACTGTTGAACTTCATTTTGTTAGTTTTGGCCCATCTCTCTAATCTGTCAAGATGTTTTGAATCCTGCTCCTGTCCTCTGGAGTATTAGCTATCCCTCCTAATTTGGTGTCATCTGCAAACTTGATGATAATGCCTTCTAGCCCTTCATCTAAGTCATTAATATAGATCCTGAACAGGACCGGGCCCAGGACAGAATCCTGCGGCACTCCACTTGTCACTTCTTTCCAGGATGAAGAGGAAACATTGGTGAGCACCCTCTGGGTTCGTCCATTTAACCAATTACAGATCCACCTCACCGTAGTTTTGCCTAGCCCACATTGGACTAGTTTGTTTGCCAGAAGGTCATGGGGGACCTTGCCGAAGGCCTTACTGAAATCCACAGCATTCCCCGCATCTATTCACACACACACCCCGAAACCCCCCCCCCCCCCCCTTTTTTTTACTGAAATCCAGGTACGCTACATCCACGGCATTCCCCATATCTACCCAGCTTGTAACTCTATCGAAAAAAGAGATCAGATTAGTCTGGCATGACTTGTTTTTGATAAATCCATGTTGAGTATTAGCGATGACCGCATTTGTTTCTAAGTGTTTGCAGACCACTTCCTTAATAATCTTTTCCAGAATCTTGCCTGGTATCGACGTGAGGCTGACCGGACGGTAATTGTTTGGGTCATCCTTTTTTCCCTTCTTGAAGATTGGGACCACATTGGCCCTCCTCCAATCTGCTGGAACTTCTCCCGTTCTCCAAGAACTCTCAAAGATTATTGCCAATGGTTCCGAAATGACTTCCGCTAGTTCCTTCAGTACTCTTGGGTGTAGTTGATCTGGCCCTGGGGACTTGAACTCATTTAGAGCGACCAGGTAATCCTGGACGACTTGTTTCCCAATTTGGGGTTGGATGTCCTCTAATCCCTCATCCACTCCATCTTGCTGAGGTTGAAGATGACTTTCTTTTAGTGAGAAGACTGAGGCAAAGAAGGTATTAAGTAGTTCTGCCTTTTCCCTATCCCCTGTCAGCATTGCCCCATCTTCTCCTCAAAGGGATCCTATCGCCTCCTTGTTTTTCCTTTTTCTACTGACATAAGAAAAGAAGTCCTTTTTATTGTTTTTAATGTCCCTGGCAAGCCTGAGCTCGTTTTGTGCTTTAGCCTTGCGGACCTTTTCCCTACAGGTGTTGGCTATTTGTTTGAATTCTTCTTTGGTGATTTCTCCCTTTTTCCACTTCTTGTGCATGTCTCTTGTGTCTTAGCACAGTTAGAAGTTCTTTGGACATCCATTCTGGCTTCTTTGCACTTGTCCTATTTTTTTCTCTTTGTTGGCACAGTGTGCAATTGCGCCTTGAGTATTAACTTTATATGTGCATTTTTGTTTCCTTGGAAGTTTCCCCCTCATATGTTTTCAGGTCTTTGCAAATCCTATATACATATAGATATCCAGAGATTTCCATATACCTGTATATCTGTATCTATATGTATACATTATTTTATATGGGAATTTTCCCCTCACGTGTTCCCCTCCCCTCTAGCTTTGTATTGTTTATATAGGCATTGAATGTTTGCCTGTTATTATGTTGGAAGCAGGCCTCAGTCCCCATGGGGAGATAGGGTGGGATACAAATTAATTTCTATTATTATTTTTATAAAGTTATTGTTGAGACCATATTGTTTTTGTTGACCCTACTTTTCCACTTACAGAGCTAGTTTACCTATTTTCTTTGAAATATGGAAAATATTCAAAAACATTTAACCCTCTGATGCCTCAATTAATGTAATTTTATTGGTATCTATTTTTATTTTGAAATTTACCAGCAGCTGCTGCATTTCTCACCCTTGGCTTATACTCAAGTCAATAAGTTTTCCTACTTTTTTGTGGTAAAATTAGGTGCCTTGGCTTATATTCATGTCAGCTTATACGGTATGTATAATACAGATGAAGGAAGATCTGGAAACACATCTTCAACTACAAATTAAGACATGGGCAGAAAATTTGTTGTCTTTTTGGAACATGAAGAATAACTTCACTTTTGACCTAAAAGCAATACATTTCCTTTCCTGGCTGCCATATTGTGTGTCTTTCAGCAGAGAAAACAACACAAGGCATTTTCCTGAATTCATTATGAAGTCTACTGTACCTGTCAACATGTCATCAAAGCTGGACCGAGCTTCAGGATGACGCAACAATGACTTTGGAGTGAAGACAATGAGCTGAAAAAGGAATGGATTCCAGATTCAGTGTCAAGACTGAGACTGAAACACTTTCTGAGTAAGCACTGAATTATCATACTAACATTTAGGAGTTGTTTAATGAAAGCATAAATAACCTGAAGTCCATAATACACAGATTTTGTATTTTAAGTAGTCTGAAATGAACCTAGGAACAACTTGGAAAACACTATGTTTGCAGAAATACAGACTACCGACCAGGTTTTGACAGCTGAAGAAAAGTCGAAGATAAATATAATTAACTATATCTGTAACAGCTCTTAATAAATTAATGTGCAAAGGTCACTGTAAAAGTTATGAAAGACAGAAATACAATGCAGAAAACATAAAACATTTCTGTGCACAGGCATTTGAAATTAGAAACAGAGAACCAAATGAGAGGCTGTAAAAATACATAATAGAGGCAACCACAAAATATGCAAAATAAACTTTCAATTTCTTTCAGGACTTTGCTTTTAGAGGCACAGTTTTAGTTCTCGCATGCAACAGAACTTTGTCTTTGATTGATGCAGTGATAAAACTATGGAATAAAACAACCTTACACTAGTTTAGAGTCATTCCATCATATCACTGCTATCATATGTGGCTTGAATCTATAATCAGAGTCGGAAAATTATGCTAAGGAAGCTATACTTAATACTGACCGGTTTCCGGAAGGGGAGAAGTATCTGCCTCCGCACAACATGGAAAAAGTTTGCTGGCGTAGAACAGTTCACTACAATCCAATTGCAGTCATACAGCTGTCGGACATCAAAATCATCTAGTTTCTGTAGAAAGATGACAATGAGGGCTCAAAAGTCAGACAGAACTATATGCATGTGGCTAAAGCAACTTAAATACCCCAAAAGCACCAGATCCTGTGTGATCCTGGAAGCTAAGTAGGGTCAGCACTGATTATTACTTAGGTGGGATACTGCTAATTAATCTCAAGTCTTATTTCAGAGGAAGGAACCAAACCATATCTGATGATTCCTTGCCTAAGAAAACCCTATAAAATCTGAGAGGTCATTTTAAGTGAAGAAGCAACTTAACACACACACACATACAAAGCAGTCCATCCCCTACCAACACACATTTGGCTGTTTGATCTATTAATTGCCTATCTGAAGTACAATACCATTATATATATTAATCTTCTATCTGCTATGTATATAATAAAAGTCAATATATATGTAAGTGTGTATGTTTGCATGTATCTAAGCTTGTTTGTATTTTTCAAGATGGCTCCCACATCCAGAGATCCCCGTGACTCCCACCAACGATGGATCAGGGCCAAACTTGGCTCACATATAATTCATGACCAAATTTAATTACTGGCAGGATCTGGGAGCACTGACAGAGGACGATGGGAGTTGTAGTTCAACTATAGGTGAAGAGCACTGTGAATCCCACCAATCATGGATCTGGACATAATTTGGCACACATACCCATCATGATTAACTTTAAATAGTAGTGCAGTTTGGGGGCGATGCCAGATGATAACAGGAAATAAAGTTTACCCACATCGGTATGTATTTTCTAATGGGACCACTGATAAAATGCAAAACCAAACAATGACTATTCCTAATATTTATCATTATATAAGATCTAACCTGGGCATTGTTGGGTAACTAAGCTAGTTAATAAATAAAATACAGACATTACTAATGGCTGGCATGGGATTCAGTATGGTTTTTATAATCTAGGAAGTATCCCAAGCACTTAAGTGTCTGTGTTGTAAGGTAGGGGAGCACAACAGAAAGGAGTAGAAAATGCCTTCTTGCAGACAAAACTCACTGGGAAGACATCTGGATCGTCATTGCACATTTGCAGGAATCGCTCTGGTCTGGCAGAAGAGTGCTCAGGGCCCTACAAACATATGAGGACTGTCAAGACACTAGATTAAATCCCTCCTCCTCCCCCCCCCCCATCAAAAAAATCTGAATATTATTTCCCTTGAGTCTGCAAGACCTGAGCAGGGCTGTTGATAGAATGACTTGGAGGCCTGTCATTTATGGGACAGCCATATATCCAAGTTGACTTGATAGCAATAAATAACATCAACAATCTGTATACTGAGAAATAACTCTTCAGATATTTGCTATAGTCAGTACTTTAATGGAAAACAGCATTTGCTCCATAACTTTATGGTAACTATTCGGAATATGGAGTCTTAACATCACTGTCTTACAAGTGTAAAGTAAAGCTATTTTCTGCAGCTTATCAAATAGTTAAGAACTTGCCAAGAAAACCCAAATACCAGGTTTTATTACATTTCTATTGAGTAATGCACATATGTATTGAGATGATGTATTGAAATTACAGGAAGGAGATTCCACCTGAACATTAGGAAGAACGTCCTGACTATAAGAGGTTCAACAGTGGAATTCTCTGCCTTGGAGTGTGTGAAAGCTCCTTCCTTGGAGGCTTTTAAACAGAGGGTGGATAGCCATCTGTAAGGGGTACTTTGATTGTGCTTTTCCTGTATGGCAGGGAGTTGGACTAGACGGCCCATGTGGTTTCTTCCAGCTCTATTATTCTATTCTATAATTGTTCTACTGGGACATAAGAGAAAAACAAAGCCTGCCTTAAGACACAAGTAAAAGGCAGTTAACAAGAAGACTGCAATCTTACCATTCCTTCCATGCCATGGGGAAGCAGGAGTACCATGCCATTTTGTCTCACCCACTTGGACTGTCCGGAACAGATGAACTGGTCAATAATACACTGAGCTGTGTTGTGAAAGTCACCAAACTGAGCTTCCCACAGCACCAAAGCATTGGGGCTGGCCATGGCAAAGCCCAGCTCAAACCCTGTAATGATACAAATTAGGTACATGTATGATTTTCTGGAGTCTTATCAGTTAAGGCATTAACCTAAGTAACCTTCCCTAAGTATGGAACAGTGGAGTGTACGCACCCAGGACTCCATACTCTGAGAGAGAACTATTGCAGACTGTATATGGAGCTTGGTTTGGCCACAGGTGGTTCATAGGAATGCAGGTCCTCTTGTCAACATTCTGGTCATGTAAGACATGGTGTCGATGGCTGAAGAGAAATGGGACATAACCCCTCAGAAGATTTCAAAATATAATAAACATACATCAAACAAATGTTGGAAGTGTAATCAACAAGTAGGCACCTTTTTTCCACATCTGGTGGACTTGCCCAAAAGCTAAAGAGTTCTGGAACACAATTCAAAAGACATCCAAAAAAATCACAAAAAAACGGATTAATAAAGAACCAGAGGGTTTTTTTTACTAGGCATGCTTGACTTGGAAGGAGAAAAAAATAATGAAAAACTATTTAATTACCTAACTACTGCAGCCAGAATTGTATTTGCTAGAAAATGGCGACGGAAAGAAATACCCCAATGGGAAAATGGCATAATAAAATTCTAGAGATAATGAGCATGGACGAACTAACATATTGGCTAACAGCAAACCAAGGGTCTCCGAAGAAACACACAAACTGGGACCGGGTAAAAGATTACTTTAGACAATGTAAAATAGAGATTGTTACATGAGGAGAAAAAACTTTTTTTTTGAATGAACTGCAACTAAAGAAGCAACAGTGAGGGAGTTAATTACTTAGATCTATTTTTTTACACAGAAAAAGAGTTACAAATGTCCAACAAAGACAAGAGGAAAGTCACATTTTTTTCTATTTTTAAAATTTTTATCTTTTATTAAATATACATTTCTTTTTTCCCAACTGATTCTACCCTGGGTTTTTTTTTCTCCCCTCTCTTTTTTTTCTTCTCTTGTGGGGGAGGGGGGAGGCTCTCCTCCTTTCCTTTCCTATCGACTACAACAATGTTTTCCCACTTTCAATGCACAAAACCTTACTTTTCTAACCTTATAAAACCCATCAATAAAAATATTACAAAAAAGAGAAATGGGACACCATGGAACTGTTGCTGAAGGGTTATGCAATTTAGTTGAATGACTAGTAACTATTAGTATTGCAATGCAGTTACTAATAATTCAAAATACTCATTTGCCCACACACTTCAGTCATTTATGACACAAAGACAGCGTAGAAAAAAAGATCTGTTTTTCCTAGATGCATAACATACAAGTGATCAGTTGAGAGAGGCTAGAAGAAGCACATGAGTAAGATCATTCTTTGCAGTTGGTTGTAGCTAAGCACTCCCAGACTCGAATCCTTAAATTCAGTGATTCTCAACCTGTGGATCCCCAGGTGTTTTGGCCTAAAACTCCCAGAAATCCCAGCCGGTTTGCCCACTATCAGGGTTTCTGGGAGTTGAAGGCCAAAACATCTGAGGACAAACAGGCTGAGAACCACTGCTTAAGTAGAAGCAACAGACCAAACTTAGCACTATGGTCTGATACTAAGCACTACATAAACCAGGGGTCCTCAAACTTTTTAAACAGAAGGCCAGGTCACAGTCCCTCAAAGTATTGGAGGGCCAGATTATAATTTGGAAACAAATGAATGAATTCCTATGCACATTGCACATATCTTATTTGTAGTGCAGAAACACTTTAAAAATAACAAAATAATTAAAACGAACAATTTTAAGAAATATAAACTTATTAGTATTTCAATGGGAAATGTGGGCCTGCTTTTGGCTGATGAGATAGGGTTGTTGTTGTGTGCTTTCAAGTTGTTTCAGATTTAGGTTGACCCTGAGCAAGGGCCGGGTAAATGACCTTGGAGGGCTGTATCCGCCCCCTGGGCCTTAGTTTGAGGACTCCTGACATAAACTGATATTCTGCATGTCTAAGAAGACTTTTCATTTGACAGTAAATACTGCAGTGTCATGAACAAAGAAGGGGCACACATAACCAAGTGAACACTTTACCTGAAGGTTCCTCTCTCAACATCTTGTCCACTCAGTCGGATGTGGATTCCCTCTTTAAGGAGAGAGCCGAATGCCATGTATTCTGCCAAGGCCCAATCTACAGTTCTATTAGTAACCAATTCTCCACGGGTCTTTAGAATCCTGCTTAAACCTGCAGAAATAAGTGAAGAGTTACAAGACCAACAGCTTCCTTTATTTTTGCTCATGAGCATATATTGTGCAAACATGGTGGCTAGAGTACTTTGCAATATTATTGCTCCAGAAAACATATGACGAAGATGTGAAAAACACATGCAAAATGTGGAGAAAGAGTAGTACCGGAGGGATCTGTTCTAATGTAAGATCTCCTTCCAACCTCATTTTTAATTAATTGGATTGACATTCATTCACCTTGAAGTGGAACGTGGCCTATTATATGGAAAATACCTATAGATAAGTGGTTCTCAACCTGTGGGTCCCCAGGTATTTTGGCCTATAATTCCCAGAAATCCCAGCCAATTTACCAGCTGTTAGGATTTCTGGGAGTTGAAGGCCAAAACATCTGGGGACACACAGGTTGAGAACCACTGCTATAGACTGAAGAAAGGTAAAAAGGTTAACAGAGAACATAAGTGTTCCATCAGCTGATGAACTTTACTCTAGAAGAGACTTTAATGCAATCTGCAAGGACATCAGGCATGCCCCAACTCTGGCAGTCTTTAGGAGGAGCCTGAAAACATGGTTGTTCCAGTGTGCCTTCCCAGAATAAGGAAACTCCCAGCAATATGTCCCTCAATGCACTTTATTAGTGATCTAGGAATGTCTGCTCGCCCATTCCTCTCTGAAAATTCTCTTAGTTATATTTGACCTGGTCACGCTTAGCATTATTTTATAATTTTAATTATTGCATTTGGCCCAGCCATAGGTTTTTAAACGTTGTTGTGTTATGGTTAATGTTTACTGTTTATTTTCTGTTTATGAGTTTTATTTTATTGTTATGTATTACTGTTGTTATTGTTTTTACTGATGTACTGTGGGCTCAGCCTCATGTAAGCCGCACCGAGTCCTTTGGGAAATGGTAGCAGGGTACAAATAAAGTATTATTATTATTATTATTATTATTATTATTATTATTATTATATTGTAAACATGAGATTTTCTTTGGCCCTAATGTAGGCTACATTACAGAGGAAAGTACAGGCAAAACCATCCCTGAATATTTCTTGCCTAAGAAAGACCTATGAAATTCAAGGGGTTGCCATAAGTAGACAGGTATTTATTTATTTATTGTATCTGGAACGAACCAAGGGTACAGTTGATGTATTTGAGAAAAAACACAAAGTTTAAAAAACTTGGCATTATATTAAATGTCGTTTGGAGGATCTGGAGAACTAGCCCTATGAGGAGCGGCTTAAAGAGTTGGGCATGTTTAGCCTTAAGAAGAGAAGACTGAGAGGAGACATGATAGCCATGTATAAGTATGTGAGAGAAAGTCATAGGGAGGAGGGAGAAGGTGTGTTTTCTGCTGCCCTGGAGACTAGGATGCAATGGAACAATGGCTTCAAACTACAAGAAAGGAGATTCCATCTGAACATTAGGAAGAACTTCCTGACTGTGAGAGCCATTCAGCAGTGGAACTCTCTGCCCCAGAGTGTGGTGGAGGCTCCTTCTTTGGAGGCTTTTAGACAGAGGCTGGATGGCAATCTGTTGGGGGTGCTTTGAATGCAACATTCCTGCTTCTTGGCAGGGGGTTGGACTGGATGGCCCATGAGGTCTCTTCCAACTCTATGATTCTATGATTCTATGGTTCCTTGTCCAGTAGCTGGCCACTTGGAGTTCCTCTGGTGTTGCTATAAGAAGGTCCTCCATTGTGCATGTGGCAGGGCTCAGGCTGCATTGTAATAGGTAGTCTGTGGTTGTTCTTCTCGACCAGAAGCAACCATAAGGTTGACTTGAAAGGACACATAAATACAAAATAAAACATTATTCCAGTATGGCCTGAAGTCATAATGGACTACTCCCACTGCCTAGGATTGCACTATCTCATGGAGACCCAATCAATGGTAATCTCAAGGATTTTTATCCAAACAGTCCAGTATAACCTTCTGCAGCACATGCCATCATCCCATTAAAAAATGAACCCCATGTAGACTACTGATCTCAGATGTCATACCTCCATGGATTGTGAAGTTTTCAACAGGAACTGAGCTCGCCACCTTTCCTATATGGATCAAATCCTCTTCATTCAAACCAGTGGAAGGACAGGTCATGCTCCTGGGCTGGCCATCCAGAGTGAAGAAACCTAGAGAAGCAAAGAGATGAGTCTGACATTCACCGGAGGAACAAAATCCAGCTGCTGGAGCAACAACTAGGGGACACTGCCAACTTTCTTTTGAGAAGAGGAAAACTGGCAAGGAAATTACAACATGCTAAATTATTGAACAGGCTATTTCCTGACAGTGATTCTACAGCAAGGAGAGAACCTCTGGAGAGGCCCTTCTTTCGCCCATTCCTCCTTCACAGGCTCGACTTGTGGGAACGAGGGAGAGGGCCTTCTCCGCTGTGGCCCCCCTAGGGAGGTCAAGCAAGCTTCTATCCTAGTTGCTTTCAAGAAAGATCTGAAAACTTGGCTCTTCTGATGTGCCTTCGGAGAGTAACCACTCAACCCATTTGGTTGTTTCCACCTACAGCTGCCCTCAGAATAAAGCACCTTCCCCTGTCCCCCATAAAGGCCAAATCCCATTGCTCCTCCCTTTCGGCTCCTCTCTCATAAATGCACTTCTATCCCTATCTCACCCAGGGTTTTAACCTTTTAATATTTTACCTCATACATCTGGCCCGCCCTCTGTGTTCAATTTTATTATGCTATTTTAAATTGTTTATTTTATTTGTTATCTTATATATTTTGTTATGAAGTATTTTCTTATTTACTTTGTTTAATTAAGTTGTATTATTTTGGACTTGGTCTCGTGTTAGCCGCCCCGAGTCTCCTTTGGGGAGATGGTGGCAGGTTATAAATAATAATAATAATAATAATAATAATAATAATAATAATAATAATTATTATTATTATTATTGAGACTGACTCACTTCAGCAAAGCAACCTTTGTGTGATGAGTGTGTAAATGCTTCTCACATATTACAGGCCTCATACTGTGCTGGTCAGTGACCGTAATAAAATTTTGTATTGTATAGGCCTTATACTGAACCTTCAGTACTGGAAGTACCAGGCAAGCATGTCCCCACTTAAAGCCAGAAGCTGCAAGAACCATCTTCCAACAGAATAATTACTTTTTAAACTGAATCCACTAGGAAGAAGACATAACCTACCAGGCCATGGAGAATCTAGCCAGTGCTTGATGTGAAGGATTTTCTCATCCTTGGACCTGGCATGCGCCTCCTCACAGATCTTGTCATATTTGGCAATTTCCTCCTGAAATGTGTAAGCAAGAACAGCTGGAAGCAAGGTTAAGAAAACTTTCAGCACTATTATTTCCACATATCTACATTTTATTTAGGTATTATAGACCACCGCTTTGGCCTGGAATAAGTTTCTCTATGTATCCCATGGTGGTGCAGCAGGTTAAACTGCTGAACTTGCTGACTGTTGGTGGTTCGAATCCAGGCAGTAGGGTGAACTCCCACTGTTAACCCCAGCTTCTGCCAACCTAGCAGTTCAAAAACATGCAAATGTGAGAAGATCAATAGGTATCACTCCAGCGGAAAGGTAATGGCGCTCCATGCAGCCATGCTGGCCACTTGACCTTGGATGTGTCTATGGATAATGCCGACTCTTCGGCCTAGAAATGGAGAGCAGCACCACCCCCAGAGTCAGACATGGCTAGACTTAATGTCAGGGGAAACCTTTACCTTTATCTATGCACTAAAATGAGGGTAAAATGTCCTAATTTTTGAGAACTATTTACCATTTACTATTTCTAAGGTTGCAACCAGGTTAGAAAATGCCTGACTGGAGGTAGAACTTCCAGGAGCTGGTTGCTGGGAAATCCTTTCCAGTCAAGTTCGGAAGCATATAAACACACTTGGAATTCCTCAAAAGTATCATGAATTGTCTCGGAAATGTTTCTGATTTTGTGTCCATCCATGTGTAACATCTTGGGGGCTGGACTCAATCTGGAAGGGTTTGTGCATTCACTTCCTCTATTTCCAGAATACTTAAAATAATATTACGGGGTGACACAGTCAATATTGCAAGATTACTGATAGAAGGCAGGGGAAATCTACAGTTGCATTCATCCATGCCATCTTGTGCCTTGATTCATTGTCCTATGCCGAGCCATGATTCTAACAGGGATAAACTTGTGGGCATGTTTTATCTGTATTTTCTTATATGTCATATTATTTCCTTCCACCTCCAGCTTCAAGCCCTTCTCAACCTTACATCTACAACTTTTGCAGTGTAATAAAGTGGGGGAAAGGGGAGAGGAAGGATAAAACGATACAAGATAGAGGGTTTTATTCCAAGAAAATGATTATATTTAGGGTCACCATAAGTTAGAAATGACTTGGACGCACACAACAACAACAATGGTCTTAATAATATTCACATTTTAGATGCCATGCTGACAGCTTCATCCTCCCTGACTAAAAAAGTGCTTCTTCTACTTTCTATTTAGCTATCATTTACACAGATTGTTTTCCTTACGTTTTCATTTTTAGATGCTGCATCTTCCAGTACTGGACAGATTATTTTGCCCTATTCTAGCATCAGAGAGCCGCTACACTACAGAGCTGCACTTGCAATTTTTAGTGTGCACTTCTGACATTGGAGCCCCTGGTGAAACCCTTGTGCCGGTAGGATTGCTGACTGAAAGATCGGCCGTTTGAATCCAGGGAGCGGGGTGAGCTTCTGTCATTCAGCTCTAGCTTCTCATGCAGGATATGAGAGAAGCCTCCCAAAGGATGGTAAAATATCTGGGCGTCCCTGGGCAACGTCCTTGGAGACGGCCAATTCTCTCACACCAGAAGCGACTTGCAGTTTCTCAAGTCGCTCCTGACACGAAAAAAACCAACTTCTGACATTACTTAGTTTTCTCATCCTTGACCATTTAATCAGTATACAGACACACGCGCGCACACACACACACACATATGCATATATATATATAGGGAGGGAGAGAGAGAGACGATATAGCAGTTTATTAAGCATGTCTAGAAGGTTATGATAGGTGACTAGAATTAGAATTGATGACCAAGCCATAAATGAAAGTACCTCATACTCAGGTTGATTTACCACTCCTTGTGAAACTAGAGTCTCAGCATATTTTTGCAGCACAGGCTTCTGCTTCCGGATTTGTTTGTACATCAGTGGCTGGGTGAACATTGGCTCATCCATCTCATTGTGCCCATTTCTCCTGTAGCATACCTAGTATATTTCAAGAAAAGCTGACTATGTCAACCTCTCCAATGTTAGTTTGCAGACAAAAATATATTTCCAAGATTATTAAGTAATGTATTTATTTATTAATTTATTAATTATTTGAACTTATATGCCGCCACTCCCCTGGGGCTCGGAGCGGCTTACAAGAACAGGCTAAAATCGAACACAATTTAAAAACAATTTAAAACAATTTAAAACAATCAGAGATCAAAGGCCCGTCGAAATAGATATGTCTTACATGCCCTGCGGAAAGCTGATAAATCCCGCAAGGCACGGACTTCAGGTGGCAGAGTATTCCAGAGTGATGGTGCCACTGCTGTGAAGGCTCTGCGTCTGGTTGCTGTTAGACGCAAGGTCTTGACACTGGGAATTTCCAATAGATCTTGGTCCTCAGAATGGAGGGATCTCTGGGGTTGGTAGGGGGTGAGGCGGTCCCTCAGTACATCGGCCCCAGACCATGCAAGGCCTTAAAGGTGAGTACCATCACTTTGAAAGTGATCCGGTGCTCAATTGGTAACCAATGCAGCTGCAGTAAGATTGGTGTTATGTGGCATCTCATCGGAGTTCCCGCAAGAAGCCGAGCAGCTGCGTTTTGTACCAGCTTGAGCTTCCGGATCACCGACAGAGGAAGGCCAATGTAGAGGGCGTTACAGTAGTCCAGTCTTGAGATGACCGTAGCCTGGATCACCGTAGCTAGGTCGTCCCTGGACAGGTAGGGGGCCAGCCGTCTAGCCTGCCGCAGATGAAAAAAGGCGGTTCTGCTAACGGCGGAGACCTGGGCCTCCATCGTCAGCAGAGGGTCCAAAAGGACTCCCAGACTCTTTACCAATGATGACGGGCGTAGCGCCTCACCATCCAGGGTAGGCAGCTGGATATCCCCACTGCCTGGTTGACCCAGCCATAGGATCTCCGTCTTTGCTGGATTCACCCTCAACCTGCTGGCACGCAGCCATCCAGTCACGGCCTCGAGGCACTGATGGAAACAATCGGGTACAGAGTCCGGTCGGCCTTCCATCTTCAGCACAAGCTGAGTGTCATCAGCGTACTGGTAACACTCAAGCCCAAAACCTCGAACCAGCTGAGCAAGTGGTCGCATATAGATGTTAAACAACAGAGGGGAGAGAATGGCCCCCTGAGGAACCCCACAAGATAGAGGGGACCTCTCAGAGACCAGGCCTCCCCTCTCCACTCGCTGTCCACGGTTGTGAAGAAAGGAGGACAGCCAGTTTAAAGCTGTCCCCCTGACTCCAGCAACAGCAAGGCGGTGGGTCAAAAGATTGTGGTCGACTGTGTCAAATGCTGCTGTGAGATCCAATAACACAAGCAGCGCTGACCCGCCCTGGTCAAGCTGGCATCGAAGGTGATCCGTGATGGAGACCAGCACAGTCTCTGTCCCATGCCCCGCACGGAAGCCGGACTGGAAGGGATCTGGAGGGAACCGAAGGATCTAAATCTGGTTTCTTCAGCAGGGGAGAGACCACCGCCTCTTTTAAACCCTCTGGAAAAACTCCTTGCTCAAGGGAGCTGTTTATGATCTTCAACAGAGGGTCACGTAATCCCTCCAAGCAGGATTTCACCAACCAAGAGGGACACGGATCGAGGGAGCAAGTGGTCGGTCTAGCTGCAGCTATGAGCCTATCGACAGCCCCTGCATCCAGCGGGATGAACTGGTCGAGGACGGGCCCAGCAAGAGGCCACGGAGTCTCAAGTTCTCTCACTGTATCAATTGTGGCAGGGAGGTCCCGGTGAAGTAGCGAGATCTTGTCTGCAAAATAGCTCTGAAAATCCTCGGCTGAAGGGGCCTGATCACCGCTTTTTGGGACGGTTGGAACCGTCGTTAGAGATCGAATTATTTTGAACAATTTTGCCGGGCGTGAGCTAGCAGACTTTATCAAAGAAGCATAATATACTCGCTTTGCCTCGGTGATAGCAAGCTCATAGGACTCCCTAAATGCCTCATAAGCTGATCTCGATGCTCCGTCACGGAGTTCTCGCCACACGCCCTCTAGCCGTCTTTTTTCCCGCTTCATCAGTCGAAGTTCCTCGGTGAACCAAGGAGACCGATTTCGGCGGGGTCGGAGAAGGCGTTTAGGGGCGATCTCGTTGAGTGCATTGGATAGCCTGATGTTCCATGTGTCCACCTGCACATCGATCGAGTCACTGGCAAGCTCCAGATCCCTCGGAGCATTCTGGAACCTACTAGGTTCCATAAGTCTCCTAGGGCAAGCCCAAATTGGCTCGGCGCCTTTGCAGGGTGGGTAGGCGTGCTCCAACCGGACTCTCAGTGCACAGTGATCCGACCATGGAACCTCTATAGTAGAAGCTTGGGTCACTTGAATTCCTGCGCTGAAAATCAGGTCTAGCATGTGTCCCGCTTGATGTGTGGGCCCAGTAATACAGAACGAGAGTCCTAGTGTCTCCATAGTAGACACTAGGTCTATAGCTGCTGATGAACAAGAGTCGGCATCAGCATGGACATTGAAATCCCCCAAGACAGTAAGTCTGGGAAATCTCAAGGACCATTCCGACACAGTCTCCAGCAGCTGGGATAGGCTGTCTGCTGGTGCGCTAGGTGCACGGTACACCAGCAGAAAGGCCACATTCTCAGAGGAATCCCACACCAGGCCAACACTTTCAATGCAGAAATGTTCAGCACAGGAACTGCCCTAAGAGAGAAGCTTTCTCGGGAGAGCATAGCCTCCCCCCGCCCCCCCGCCCCTGCCTCCCAGTCCGCATCTGGAGATGTTACATAACCTGGAGATGTTCTTTCCTGGAGTAGGATCTCATCCCCCTCTTGGATCCAAGTTTCTGTGATACACACTAGGTCAGCTCCCTGATCATTAAGGAAATCCCTGATAGTCGCAGTTTTGTTCCTTATGGACCTAGCATTCACCAACACCAGAGTAGGAGGGGAGGAAACTGGTCGCCTGTCACAGGTGTGCCTGGGGATAGGCCGCAGGTCAGAGGGGGGCCGAGTCTCCCGCCGACTCAACCTCCCTCTAGTGTTTGGCCTGCACCTACCGTCATACCATATCAAGTAACATGAGATGTTTTGTGAGAATTAGATTTATACGTATATGCATTTGATTTTCACCTCACATTTCACCTCCAAAATGAAACTTAAGGTGTGGCATATATAGAAGCAATATTCTTTGGTCTGGGCATAATGACATTAAATTGGATAATAGAAGTCTACAGTGTTAACACAATGCAGTTCAAAACTGCATTAGATAGCAGTGTAGATGGGGCCCTTTGTCTATATACTTAGCAAATCCTAAAAATAGCATTACATCTCTTAATTTAGAAAAATAAATAAATAAATGTGAGATTTTCAGAGCGCATACTCCAGACATAAATATACCTAAATGTTTTCTCACATTTGGTCACCCCACAGATTTACTAATATTTCCTCTCCACAAATGAGAGTACCACCTACCAGATCCACGACTACGTCTTTGTGGAAAGTGCTGCGCCATTCAGCAGCCACGTTGCAGACATACACCACAGCCTCTGGATCATCGGCATTAACGTGGAAGATGGGTGCATTAACCACTCGGGCTACGTCTGTTGGGTACGGAGAAGAGCGAGCCATACGGGGATCGGTGGTGAATCCAATCTGGAAAGGACAACAACATTGTTTTTAAAAAGAAACGTAACTGTCAAAGTAAATAAGAGTTGGATAAGAGGTATATGGAGACTTCATTTATCACTTTCAACTGAAAAAAATTGTAGAATATAAAAAAATGTTTTTCCAAAACAGTTATTGCCAGTTTGAGAAGCACTGAGATAAAACGTAAAAGTTTCCCCTGACACTAATTCTAGCGATGAGGCTAATTTAATAATTAATGCATTTACACACTGATATCAATTAGATTCTATTGATATTAGTGCATAAATGCACTACTTATTCAATAGAATAAACATAAATATGATGTTGGTTTTTATTGTTTCTATTGTGGTATTGGAGCCCCCGGTGGCGTAGTGGGTTAAAGCGCTGAGCTGCTGAGCTTGTTGACCAAAAGGTTGCAGGTTCGATTCCGGGGAGCGGCGTGAGCTTCTGCTTTCAGCCCTAGCTTCTGTCAACCTAGCAGTTCGAAAACATGCAAATGTTAGTAGATCAATAGGTACTGGCGGGAAGGTAAGGGCGCTCCATGCAGTCATGCCAGCCACATGACCTTGGAGGTGTCTATGGACAACGCCGGCTCTTTGGCTTAGAAATGGAGATGAGCCCCACACCCCAGAGTCAGACATGACTGGACTTAATGTCAGGGGACAACCTTTACCTTTACCTATTGTGGTTTATATTGTTTTAACACTTAATTTGTATTTTGCTATTATGTGTTGTAAACCGCCTTGTGGTAAACCGCCTTGAGTCACCGACAGGCTGAGAAATGCAGTATACAAGTATACTAAATAATAATAAATAATAAAGGTTTCCCCTGACATTAGTCTAGTCGTGTCCGACTCTGGGTGGTGGTGCTCATCTCAATTTATAAGATGAAGAGCTAGTGTTGTCCATAGACACCTCCAAGGTTATGTGGCCAGCATGACTACATGGAACACCGTTACCTTCCTGCCGAAGCGGTACCTATTGATCTATTCACATTTACATGTTTTCAAACTGCTAGGTTGACAGAAGCTGGGACTAACAGTGGGAGCTCATACTGCTCCCCGAATTCTACCTGCCAACCTTTTGGTCAGCAAGTTGAGCAGCTCAGCGATTTAACCTATTGCACCACCAGGAGCCCCTGAGAAACATTGAATTGGACTATTATTTCAATTACATCAATCAATCAAATCAAGGAAGGAGAATTGCTATTGGTTATAAATTCGACCATTATAGGACAGACTGTTTCATTCTGGTATCTGTTTAGGATTGGGGAGTTGGGGAGGATATATAGTTTTAAATGCAATTTTAATTGTCTCTAAACTGTGTTTTAACTTATTATACATGACACAATATTTAATTGTTTTTAATTGTTCTAAACATTTGCTGCATAGAGCTAGAAATGTAACATACACAACTAAAGAGATGTGGAAGAAATCGCAACATTTTGTCATGTCATAATAAGTTGTATTTTCACAGAAAGGAAATAGTTAAAAACTTTTAAAAAATCCTTCCTCTAATAATAGCTTTCTGATTTCTCGAATATCCTGTTGTATGACTCATTTTATGGAATGTTAGAAGACAAACAGGATGAGGGAAAATGGTGAAGATTCAAATGTTTGTATTTGCTGTTTTTGAATGTATTGTGAGCTGCCTTGCGTCCTATGGGTAAAAATAAAGTAAATACATAAACAAATAATAAATAATTTAAATTTGCCCATCCAGGTATTTTGGGACAAAAAGCAGATGTTATTAAATAATGGAACACTTGATAACCAAAATGACATGTCAATTGGCTTTTCTAACGAGGTAAATTTCAAATGATCATCATATTCCTGGTGGGTTTTAAATTAGACAAAAACAACTACAGAATGAGACATTATAATAATAAAAGGATCCATAGTTACCTGGTTGTTTACCACCACATGAACTGTCCCGTGTGTTGTATAGGAAGGCAGGTCGCTCAAGTGGAATGTCTCATAAACTATACCTTGCCCAGCAAAAGCAGCATCTCCATGCAAAAGGATAGACATCACCTTCAAGGGGGAAAACAAGATCATAATGATGAACTAAATGTCTACAACTGAATTAAAGCTTAGCAAAGTTTCTTTTTTCAAATACAGCTTATGAAATCCAACCATCAGCACAGCCTCTAGAATCATAGAGTTGGAAGAGACCTTGTGGATCATCCAATCCAACCCCCTGCCAAGAAGCAGGAAAATCACATTCTACTTCTATTGGTTTGGGTATTTTGAGAGCTGAAGTCCAATGAAATAACTGACACCGATGCTACAGAATGAGAATGTTTTGACTGCAGAAGGAAGCCATTTGTGATAGATGTAAAATATTTATCTTTCAGTATCAAAGGAGTACGTTTGGTCATCCTTGGGAATCCAACTGAAAAAACAAAAGCAAAGGGATGTATATGTAACTACTTACTTTTTTCCCTTCAGTATCTCCACAATAAAATTGCTCTGCCTTTGTCTTGCCCTGAACAACTGGATCAGCAGCCTCCAAATGAGAAGGATTTGCAACCAGTGAAAGAGTGATGGTCCGGTCCGTAACTCGATTAATTCTCCGGTGATACATTCCCAAATGATACTTCACATCACCTGAGCCCTGAGAAAAGACACTAAGATTAACGTTAAGATCTTCGAGGTTTTGGTAATGTAATTTTTCAAAAAAGAAAATATTTACTCTGTATTCCTTTAGACAGGAATAAACTGATCCGAAGGACACAAAATAATCAGAGCCTGCACAGCATACAAATCACAATAAAGAAAAGTAGTGTACTGTGACTTCAACCTGTTTTCATGATTGGTTTTTATTGAATTAATCTATACAGATAATTGTTAGAGTACTGCATTGGCCTTTGCAACCTTGCAAGGCTGTTACACTTACTAAAAAAAAGTGTCCTCAAATGCTCACTATGGGGAAAGGATGCTTTTGCCACTCTTGGCCTCTTCCCAAGATTATTTTATGTCCAGAAAAGGACTTTTTAAATAAGAGGAAGTGATCTGGAAGTTGTGTCTTCACTTTCCATTCTTTTAAAATGAAGCTCTCTTCTGAGTCTATAATGCTTTTCATTAGAATTAATGGAAACAGAGGGAACCCTTGGATCAATTCACTGCTAAAACATATTTGGCATTCAAATACGAGGGTTATCCAGAAAGTAAGGTTGCAAGGCACGTAGCCCACATGGGGAATTTTCTCAGGGGAAGATGGTATCACTGCAATGTACTGGGAAGCCTACGGAAGGAATGAGCAGTGCCAGTCGTCAGTAACTCATCGATTGATGTTGTGTGAAGGTTAGAGATGAGTGTCTTGGTTCCATTTCCCGCCAAGTGCAAAGTTCTCATTGTAATACCCTACCTAAATGCTAAGGGCATGAACGCCACTGAGATTCATCGCGAGAAAAATTGTGGCGTCAGTGTTTTGGGACAGAAAAGGGGTTCTGTTCGTTGATTTTTGGAAAGAGGTGAAACAATCAATGCTGCAAGATACTGTGAGACCATGAAGAAACTTTGCAGAGCCATCCAAAACAAACTTTGTGGGATACTGACAGCAGGTGTCTGTCTCCAGCATGACAATGCGAGTCCACACACCGCTCATGCAACCCAAGAGTTGTGACTTCATTTGCTTGAGATGTTTTAAGCCATCCCTCTCACAGCTCCAATTTTGCACCCAGTGACTATCATCTGTTAACTAAATTGAAGGAACACCTGGGTGGAAAACACTTTTCCAACAATAATGAGGTGAAAATCGAAGTGACAAACTGGCTGAAAAAGATGACGGGAAACTTCTATGACACAGGCATCAAAAAACTTGTTGCTAGGATGACAAAATGTTTTGAACTGAATGATGGTTATGTGGAAAAATGGTAGGTTACTCACCTGTAACCATCTTTCTTCGAGTGGTCCTCTGTGAATCCACACATATGGAGAATGTGCACCTGCGCAGGCTCCAACGGAAAACTTCCCAGTTTAAAACTTTTAAGTTTTGGCGGTAACCCTGCCCAGCCGCCCGCAGGGCATAAAAGCACCCCGCGCGCACACCCTGTAGTTCCTACGCCGCTTTAGCAAGGAAAAAACGAGGTTTGCAAGAGGGGACAGCCGGGCGGGTTTGTGTGGATTCACAGAGGACCACTTGAAGAAAGATGGTTACAGGTGAGTAACCTACCATTTTTCTTCGTGGCCTCTGTGAATGCACACATATGGAGAGCTAGCAAGCTGAAGTCCCGGATGGTGGGAAGCAAACCGACACCAAAAGAATCTTAGGGACCAAACATGTTTAAGATGAACAAGCATAGAACTATTGAAAGCTTGCATAACTGAAAAGGTGTCACATGCAAGTGACAAGGGTACTGTCGAGTTGAAATAACCAGAACAACTGTTCCAACAACATTTTGCAGAATAAAAAGTACATTTATCCCAGCTCCAAGCGTGTTTACTTTGTTTATCAACAGCGAGAAGGGAGGGACTGGAATGACATGTAAGCACATAACACTTACAGGCACATAATGATTAAACGGCATTGCATAACAAGAAAGCGACGTTACATAAAAAACTCCAACGGTTCGGTACCGTACGGTACAAATATTCACCAAGAATAAGGCACAGTATTACATACAGTAAGAGTGCAACAACAAAGACTTCAAACCCCACAGCGTTAGTGGTACATCTCAGGGAGGGCAAGAGGCCAAAATCGCTCGACCAAACGCAGTGTCCCTTCGGGAGCGAGTGTCCAATCGGTAATGAGAGACAAATGTCATAGGGTTCGACCAAATGGCCGCCTTGCAGATAGAGTCTAACGGCACCCCCCGAGGAAAGCTGTAGTGGCGGCCACCGCCCGTGTCGACCTCGGGCGAATCGAGACCGGGGGAGGCTTGTGAGCTAGTTCGTAACAAAGTTCAATAGTAGCAGCAATCCAACGAGACAGACGCTGGGAAGAGATAGGTAGTCCAACCTTGTCTGTTGCATAAGCGACAAAGAGTCTTTGAGTCTTTCGTATCGAGGCAGTTCTTTGTCTGTAAAACAAAAGTGCTCTCCGAACGTCGAGGGTATGGAGTCTTTTCTCAGTAGAGGAAGACGGGCCCTGGAAAAAGCACAATGTCTTCGTTGATATGGAAAGCTGACACCACCTTGGGTAGGAAGGTGATGTCGGTCCACAGAACCACACGGTCAGCATGAAACACCATGTATGGTTCGTCGATCCGGAGAGCCGACAACTCAGAGGGACGGCGGGACAGCGTGATGGCGACAAGGAACGCCACCTTTCAGAAAAGGAGGCGGAAATCCACCGTGGCGAGAGGCTCGAAAGGAGGACCCGAGAGGTGGGATAAGACAAGGTCCAAACTCCAACCAGGAGTGGGTGGGTGTATCGGAGGATGCATGTGAGTGTAACCTTTAATAAAAGTTCTGATCAGGTGGTGCTGGAACAAAGAGGGTAGCTCTAGTGTCTGGAGGTACCATGAAATTGCTGCCACATATGACTTTATCGAAGATAAAGTCAGGTTTTGGTTAGCCAGCGTCAGGAGAAAGTCAAGAATTGTCGGTATCGATGGAGGAAACTCATCTAAGGAACGGTCTCGAAGGAAACTGTTCAACCGACCAATGCGATAGGCATACGCCCTTGATGTCGAAGGTTTGTGTGCCGCCTCAAGGATTGAGCGGAGTTCAGGAGTAAATGACGCTATGGAAGTATTCTCTAGGCCGTGAGGTGCAGAGACCCGATGTCGGGATGGAGAAGGAGGCCGCCTTCTCTCAACAGGAGGTCCGGTCGATGGGGAAGACGGACAAACTGGCCGTTGGACATGTGGAGAAGAGTGGGAAACCAGATCTGTCTGGGCCACTCCGGTGCAATCAGGATGCAATTGGAGTGAGCCATGTCGATTCTTTCGATGACTCTGAGCAGTAACGGGATCGGTGGGAACAGATACAGGAACTCTGTCGACCCATCCAACAGGAAAGCGTCCCCGAGACACCCCGTGATGTTGTCCTGGGGCAGACGGGCTCCGAACAGGGGTAGCTGGTGATTGTCCAGTGAGGCGAACAAGTCGATCGTTGGTAGACCCCACTGGTCGAAGACCTCTCGGAGTATCTCCGGGTCGAGCTTCCACTCGTGAGATGTTGTTGTCGAGCGGCTGAGGGCATCGGCTTGGTCGTTCCACTTGCCCGGCAGATGAATCGCCATCGGGAAGATTGCATGCTTGCGGAACCACTCCCACAACGTCGTCGATAATTTTAGGAGTTTTCTGGAACCCGTGCCTCCCTGCTTGTTTATATAAAACATGGCCACCATGTTGTCGGTTTGAACCTGGACTCTGTGGCCGGCCATGATTGGGAGGAAAGCCTTGAGCGCCTTGAGGATTGCTAGGAGCTCCAGATAGTTGATATGGTACAGTCTTTCTAGAAGGGACCAGACATCTTGGATTGAGAGATGTCCTGTGTGTGACCCCATGCGAAAGTTGAAGAATCTGTCGTCAGAGTGACCGACGGCTGTTGGGGGTGGAAGGGGAGGCCTATACAAACGTTTCGTCGATGAGTCCACCACGCCAGTGTTCTTCGGACCGATTGCGGCATCGACAGGACTTTGAGGTCTGAGTCTCGACAGGGATTGAAATTGTCGAGGAACCATCGTTGAAGCGGTCGCATCTTGAGTCTGGCGAATGGTGTAACCATTACTATAGATGCGATGTGTCCCAGCAAGACTTGGATGTGTCTTGCCCTGATTCTTGTGGCGGTCCTGCAGAGTTGCAACACCTGCTGGAGGGCCTGGAATCTGGTCAGTGGGAGAGATACAGTCTCTGATATCAAGTCAAAGTGCGCCCCGATAAACTTTATCGACGTTGTCGGGGAAAGATGTGATTTCTCGGCATTGAGTTGGAGGCCGAGGTTCTGTAGAAGGTCTAGAGTCAACAGTATTTGCTTCTTTAAAAGGTCTGGGGATTTTGAGGCTAATAACCAATCGTCTAGATACGGAAAAATGCGGATTTTCCGTCGTCGGAGGTAAGCGGCGACAACAGCCATGCACTTTGTAAATGTCCTTGGTGCCGTCCTGAGGCCGAATGGAAGGACAGAGAAGGAAAATGTCTGGTCCTTCACTTTGAATGAGAGGAAACGTCTGTGAGACCTTCTGAATGCTAAATGGAAATAAGCGTCTCTGAGGTCGATCGACGCGAAGTAATCGCCTCGACGAAGCATCGGAGCTATCGACGATACCGTCACCATCCTGAATTTTGAGACATGAATAAATTTGTTGAGTGCCCTGAGGTCTAGGATCGGGTGGAGGGAGCCATCCGGCTTTGGTACCGTAAAGTACCGAGAGAAAAAGGCACGATTGTCTAAGTGCGAGGGAGACCTCTCGATTGCCCCTTTGGCCAGAAGGGACTCGACCTCCTGCAAGATTGCGGGGGAAGGATCCATCTTTATCACCCATCCCGTCGGAGGCAGCTGTTTGAAGTGTAACGCGTAGCCTTCTTTGACAACCTTCAAAACCCACGCATCTGAGGTAATGCGTTGCCAACTTTGGAAGAAGTGCGCGAGGCGATCTCCAAACTGAGGTTGTGATGGCCGGACGGGTGTCTGGGAGGGTTGGAGAGGCAAATGGATGGTGGAGAT